GTCCCTTCCGACCCTTAATCTATGAATCTATGAAAAACCCTGAGAATATTGTAGTTCTAAGTCTATTATGGAAAACATTTCTGCTGTGTTAGTTAAATATATTTGATCAGTTTAATTAGTGAATATAGTATGAACAATATTGCAAAAATTAGGGCCTGGCAATCTGGGGTACCTTAATTAAGTGCATAATGCACTTTCAGAGTGGGGGGCTCTCAGCACTGAAAAGATTCCTTTTTAAGCATCTCCAGATACCTGGAATCACAAATGGCTTCTGAAATTTGTGTTTAACTTTATTTTCTTTTTAAACAAAAGCTAGAAATGAGGGAAGTCTCCTTCTTGCCATATTGGATCTCGTGAGACAGCTTCTTCATTTCACTCCATGTATGGCATTACCCAGTGTTGCATACCTGGATGTTTTCATTCAGGAAGACATTGTTAATACCATGTGTGTGCCTGGTAGTATGTGCCAGTCCCAGTGGGCACACTCTACTTTGGGATCCTGTTCTGTTTTAATCTTCAGGGAACAACTGTTCTGAATAGCAAACACATTGCTTTGTATGTGAATCGCTGACAACAGGCTGCTTATGACAACAGCAGCGGTTGCCCGTCACACTGGACAACAGACTGCCAAAAACAGTAACTGCTAGCTAACCAGCCAAACAGCAGGAACTGCAAGCAGACCAGCAACAAACTAGGTAGGCAAATCAGGAAATATGAAGAAAATCTTGTCCCTGGGAAATGGAGATGATGGTACTAGTTGCTCGTACCTGAAGATAGTCTGACTTCAGCACAGGGACCTGTTCTTTCCTTGATACATAAATCCTTTCAGAACTACCTAGACAACAACAAGGCTAGCAATACTTGATTTTTTTTCTCTGCATCAGTCCATGAAGCAGGACTGGTGCTTGGAATGTGGGCGGATGGTGCTAGGCTCCATACCCAGCCGTTCATGAGTGTTTTAACTGAGCCATCTGTAGAACGTCAGCAGGCAAGATAAAGCTTTTGGCCTTCCTGCCAAATTCCAAGCACTCAGCCTTCCAAGCCCCCTTCTGTGCCCTCAAAATTATGCCAAAAAAGCAAACCTGAAGCTACTTCTTAAATTCAAAAGATAGGATTAAACTGCCTTCAAATGAAGGAGAATTGTAGACCCTAAATTAGATTACAATGAATGAAAGGTTTGTGCGTTTTTTAATGTGAGGATAGCATTAGGAACCGACAAGCAGGGAAGTTCAAGGCTATAGTTTGTCTACAGTAAAAACAAAAAAAGAACTGTAATGATTAGATTGGTCTAAATCCTCACCTTTACTTCAGTCAAGGTCTGTGTATGAGCGTGTTCATTTTGGAATAGAATGCACTGATCTGGTTTAAGTTGGGTAGACACATATCGATTACATTAAATCAAAATAGGACACTTGTTCTGAACCTGTGAAATTTCTGCCCTTGTTTTTCTGCAAGGCCCAACTTTCACATTGCTTTGGCTTTGGATTTGCATCTGTTAATCATATTGCTTAATTTGTCAAGCAATTACACAGATTCTGTTCATTCCAGTAATAAAGTGTATGGGGTATGTGCACACTAAAATGGCTCATCTGCAGAATTTTATTTAATTTGGTATTTAATGAATGAGCTTTCTTTTTGTATATACTAATGTAGATAAGCTACTTCCTCTAAAGCATATGAGAGAAAGCAGGCAGGGTAGACTTAAAGTGGAATGCTTTTTGCTTGCACATTTGCCTTCGACCTATCTGATGGGAATTTATAAACAAAAAGATGCATCTTAGCTTATAATTTACATAGGATCAGGCAAAATGTTTTTAATGGTTTCTAAGTCATTACTTCATTTTTCAGCACACAAGCTTTGCTTTGGAAAAGACTTTGCATGACAAGCTGGGAGGACACTGCTGCCAGGTAAGTAAAATACCCCACAAAAAGTCTGATTTTCCTTTTTTATCTGTTGTACTTCCTAATTTTATACTACTACTGAATTTCCATACAAGAATTTAATTGAGATCGATTTAAAGCTTCTTCTCATACAAATTGCATATAGTGTCATTTTATCACCATGGCCTAACAGTTATATGATTAACTTACTTGTGGGTTTGTATCGCTTTTTTAAAATAATGTTGAAATGTCTAGTAGTATAAACATACATACGTGTTTTTCCTACTGGCCTGAAATAGCTTCCATTTTTACTCATAGAGGAGATGTATGCCATGTTTTAGGATCATTGGAAAATAGGGCTGGAGGTCCCTTCCAGCCCTAACTGGCCAGCTAGTCCAGCCCTCTGCTCAAGGCAGGATCATCTCTGACTAGACCAGCAAGTGGACTATTGAGAAATTTATTTGAAACCTTGAACTCTGACCATTGTATGGTGTGGAGGTCTTCAAGACATGCTTTATTCTGCTTGGGATAATAAAATGTCAAATAGTTTCATTTTGTTGGAGAAGCAGCACAACTCAGGTCTTGTATATACTCTGGGAATGCATTGTTTACATGTGTTACAAACACATTTTAACCAACCTGATACAACTCAATTTTGCCTTTAGTGAAAGAATAGGTTTTTCTTAATTGAAACTATCTGTCATAGTTAAGTATGATCCTGTAAACACAAAGTACAAAGTCATGTTTAATGTCTTGTAAGTCTAAACAGGCTGGCAGCTAAGTTTACTAACATGGTGTGTATTCCTATATTCCCAAGGTAGACTAAGCCTAAATATGAATGCTAGGTGTTCCTGCTGCATTCCCTCTTCAGATGCATGAAGAGACCAGAAGATATTACTTTGAAACTATACCAGAAACCTGGGGTTCTTTAGAGAAATCCATTTTCATCCAGCAGGTTTTGAACAGCCACTTGCTTAGGGCTTTGCTTCACCTTGCCTGTAGAGCTCCTTCAGAAGCTCTCAAGAGAGAAGAGAATACAGAAAAAGCACATCTTTTCTTCAAGGGAACTTGTCTGAATTGTGACAGGAGGCTCCTGCTTAATGTCTGTTAACTACATCTTCCCATGCTGCCCTGGAAGGTGTCACATTTTGACCCTTTCTCTCTTAGCACCACAGCGAGCATGCATGGATCCAGTCACAGAAGTCAGTTATAAATTGTTGCAGAATGCAAAGCAAATGACTTCAGTTAACAGTTGAAAAGGGTCAAGGTTGTCTGTGGGAAATAGTGGCAGCATTTACACGAGACACTGACTGCAGTAACCCGAGTTACTCCTCAGTAGCATCCATGTGCATATTTTTTGTGATGCTGATTGCACAATAGCCTGATACTACTGTGCAGTAACGTTGTGTCATGGTTGTTGTCACACGATGCTACCACGCAGTCAGCATCTTGTGTAGATGCAGCTAGTGAGCATCATTCTGCAGAGGTTAGGGACACAGGCTGAAGGAATCATCGTATAATGGAATAAAAGATGGAATAAAATGGAGGTTTTTTTCCATATTAGAAAAATCAAGACCCTTTTTTGTAGATCAGAATTGTTTAAAAAAGTTAAAGAAACCTATACTTGGAATGTGGCCACACAAACAAGTTACCACTTATAAGTTAGGGTGCAAGTGGATGAACTGCTATGAAAGATATCCAGTCTTACACTGATATCCCTACATAGGCATGTCTACACATGTGCTTTAATGTGCAGTAGTCTATTTTAATGTGTGTTAAAGCTTCATGCAAAAAACTGCAATTACTCAAATGTGCAGTAAAATAGACTACTGAGCATTAAGTGTCACTTAAAAACTGTGTGCATTCATTACTGCAGATTAAGGCAACCTAATGCGTATTTCTTTAGTACCTCTGGGCATTCATACATGTGCTCTGGGACTGGGGGGAGGGGCATGCTTTAATTAAAACGGCTCTGAGATTCACTGTAATTAAAGTGCCTGAAGCATCTCATGTATCAGCATCCCCACGCTCAAAATGGTGGCGTGGGTGCTTTATCTAAAGCTCATTCAATAAGCTTTAGATAAAGTATCCTCACTCCCATTTTGAAGCATGGGGACGCTGATGCATGAGACACAGGAGGCCTGCTGGAGCACAGTAATTGCCACGCTTCAGCAGACTCAGTTAATTGAGTCTGCTCTGACATACTGGGATGACAGCATGTCAGAGCTGTCTCTGCTCGTGTATAGTGCCTCCAATGTGATGGTGCCTAAATTTAATGCATGTTAGAAAAAGCACCATAATATACATGTAGCCATACCTTCTGCGTGTCATTGCTAATAAATCAGGTCTGTTATATGGTACCTTCTTGTAATTATTTCCTGAAATATAGCTAATGCAAATGTTCTATGCTTTCCATATTGAGGCATAATCTCTTATAGAAAAGTATGGATTAGTTTAGAGAAGAGAAATTGAATTATTTTTTCCCCTCAGGGTATGTAGCTGCTTAGACATTTCTACTACACTTTTTATACTCAGTAAACATAGCTAATACTATTTGTAGAAAAGTAAAAGGCACATTATCAGATCAATTTATTGGATTGAATGTGCAGCAATGCTCTTTTAAAAGGCAATGGAACGATTTGGTTTCAGAAAATTGGTAGGAAATGGGGAATTTTGATGCTATGGAAAGGAAAGTGCTTCAATAGTAATGTAAAAAATCTCTGGAGTGACACTATAGATGTCATGGAGATGGGGAATGAGATAACAGGATTGTGTGGGTAACTTTTGTAACCCTGGTCTTCAAAGTTAATTTCGAATAGGGCTCGCAAATTGAGAAATAAGGTTGGATGGATGAAAAAAAAGAGGCTTTTCTATTTATGGTAAAGTGGAAGAATAATCCCATTGCCCCACCGTTTAAAGAATTTTAAGATCAGCCTCAAAGTTATTATCTGTGACAGTGTAGTGCATTTCAGTCAGAGAAAGGAGGGAAGTTGGCATCAGTCCCAAAAACTTGTGTAATAAATATTGTATATAGTATTTCCCCATCTGATCTGGGAACATGTACATGTGAGAGAGAGGCTGCTAGCCCAGCCATCCTTGTTTTCACTCAGTCTGCTAAGTAATTACTTTTAGAGATCCTTTTAGAATACATTTGCAGTGCTAAATCTGGAGGGTCCTTTCTCAGGAGAAGATAGCTTAATGAGAAGTTAGAATTGAGAAAAGCATGAAAAAAGTTGGGAGAGCTCATTATTAACTCTTCAGCCTTGTGTGTGTGCTTTTAAAATGTGGCATTTTCTTATCATTATTAGACTATAGTTGTCAGTGCATATAAAATTTCAGTATAATATGTAGAGGAACTTTTTTTTACAGGCCTCCAGTTTTCAGGATAAATTAGAATTTAAAAGATCAATGACAAGTGTAAAATGAGGCTAATCTTAAAGAAAAATGTCTCAGGATCTCTTAAGTTATGAATATTTAGATGCAGCAATAGGCTTTTTTCTAATTCAAACCTGTTGGATCCACTCAAACCTATAGGGTGGCTTGAAATACTGCGAAAATTATTTTCTTCACATTTGTCTTGTGTTTGAAGCCAAATTGAACATGATATACAACCTAAGTCTTGAAGACTATAAGTCATATAGGGCAGAAATTACACTTTGTATTTTCTATATCATTAACTGACAAATTGGCTGCAGTAGGCTACATTCTACATTATAACCATGAGGGGACAAGTGCTAAGGCTGAACTTTACAGCATTATCCTTCAGTTCCTGAATTTCAAATGCCTGATTTCTCAACCTTTTAATATTGTGTTAACACATTTGACATCAAATTTTCTTTTTGAAGCAGGGAGGATTAATCCCATATGATTCCATCTGGCCATTGACTAAGCCTCACTGGCCATGTCTACACCTGCACTTTCCTGCAGAGTAGACTAATTAGCTGCCAAGTAAAGCATCGCCATCTACATGTGCAACAGTATTAGGCCACAGTAAACTAATTTACGCTGATGTAAGTTAGTACTGTCAGGGATAGTACCATCTTATTCCAGGGTAATTTACTACAATTAAATGCACATGTAGGTAGGCACTGTCCACGGGAATAAACTGAGCCTGTTAAACCCAGCCAGCCAGGGGCCAGTCTGCACACTTTCAGCACCCTTGTGCCCCCAGCCAGTCCCTCCACTGCTCTTCACTGCCACTTGGAGCCCAGGGATGACCCCCTGTGCTCTCTACCAATCTAGGCCTGCTCCGTCCCAGGTGCAGGTATAGATGCTGTGCCCAGGAGTAGTTTACTTTGGCTCAAACTGCTCCAGAGTTTATTGCTTTGCATTAATTGCATGTGTAGATGCACCCACTGTGTTTTACTTGAGATTATGTGCAGTGGAATTCTAAGTCAGACAGTGGTCCTTCTAACTCACTGTTTCTGACAGTGGCAGGAGTGGATAGTTTAGAAGGAAAGCTTTGAATAGGATATATCTAGAGTGATCCCCTATTCATTATCCTCCTCGTCATCCACCATTATTTGTTTAGAGGTGCCAGAGGATACATCCCTAACTATTCTGTTTAATAGCTCTTAATGGAATTATCATTCATAAATTCATCCACTACATATTGAACTTCACTATAATGTCTGCCTCTATTATCTCCTGCGGTAATGAGTTTCAAAAGTTACCTATGTGCTGTGTAAAAAAAGTACTTTTTCTTGTTAGTGTTAAATGTGTCTCCTACTAATTTCAGTGAGTGCCCCATAGTTCTAGTTTTCTTGAACTTGGTGATTAACAGTTCCCTATTTACTCTGTCCACATGCTTTATGTTTTTTATATACCTCTATCATATGTCCCCTCAGCCTTATCCTTTCCAAACTGAAGAGTACTCACCTTTTATAGTCTCTTCTGAAAGGCTGAAGAGGGGATATGACACCCATGGTCATCACGCTTACCCTTCTCTGTACCATTTCTAATTCTACTATATTCTTTCTGAGTTTTGGAGACCAGAACTGAACACATTATTCAAGATGTGGACATAC